GTGGTGCTCCATATGAGTGACTCCATCCCCAGTTCTTTAATGCAGTCGTTCTCAACCTGGGTCCCCAGATTTTTTGGCCTACAACTCCCAGAAATCCCACCAGTTTACCAGCTGTTAGGATTCTGGGAGTTGAAGCCAAAAACATCTGGAGACCCCAGGTTGAGAACCACTGACTTACAGTCACCATCCGTGGTTCACTGAGGAGCTGGCAGCGTTGAAGCGAAGGAAGAGGGAACTAGAGAGCGTGTGGCGTTCGGATCCGAGCGAGCCAAATCGAACACGGTTTGTGTCCTTTCTAAGGGCATATGCCGCGGCAATAAAAGCCGCAAAGAAGATCTTCTTTGCGGCCACTATTGCGTCTGCAAAGAACCGTCCGGCTGAACTGTTCCGAGTTGTCAGAGGCCTTTTAAAACCTACCATGCAGGATGGGAGCCCTGATGACTCGGCAGCTCGCTATGAAGCCCTTGCTCAGTTCTTTGCAGACAAAGTCGCTTTGATCCGCTTGGGTCTGGATACCATATTAACGGCAGTCTCTGAGGATGTAACACGAGCATCTGCTTGTCCGGTTTTGATGGATTCATTTCAATTGGTTCAATCCGAGGATGTGGACAAGGTGCTTGGAGGAATGAGAGCTACCACATGCATCCTAGACCCCTGCCCATCCTGGCTTCTAAAGGAGGCCAGAGGGGGATTGGCTGAGTGGGTGAAGGTGGTGGTTAATGCCTCCCCTTGGGATGGCAACATTCCAGCTAGCTTAAAACAAGTTGTTATAAAACCGCTGTTGAAAAAACCACCACTTGATCCCACTCAATTCGTCAACTATAGGCCAGTTTCCAATCTCCCCTATTTGGGCAAAGTCTTGGAATGTGTGGTGGACTCGCAATTCCAGGAATTCTTGGTAGACACTGATTTTCTAGGTCTGGCACAGTATGGCTTTAGGCCGGGACATGGTACCGAGACAGCCTTGGTCGCCTTAGTGGATGATCTGCGCCGGGAGCGCGACAGGGGGAGTGTGTCCCTGTTAGTTCTGCTGGACCTCTCAGCGGCCTTCGATACCGTCGACCACGGTATCCTTCTGGGACGCCTCGCGAGGATGGGTCTCGAAGGTACTGTTCTGCAGTGGCTCCGGTCATTCCTTGAGGGTCGGTCTCAGAAGGTGTTACTGGGAGACGCCTGTTCAACCCCACAACCTTTGTCTTGTGGGGTTCCTCAGGGCTCAATCTTGTCTCCCATGTTGTTTAACATCTACATGAAGCCGCTGGGAGAGATCATCCGGAGTTTCGGGGTACGGTGTCATCTGTACGCGGATGATGTCCAACTCTGTCACTCCTTTCCACCTGCTGCTAAGGAGGCTGTCGAGGTCCTGAACCGGTGCTTGGCCGCTGTGACGGTCTGGATGGGGGCGAACAAATTGAAATTGAATCCAGACAAGACAGAGGTACTCCTGGTTAGTCGTAAGGCCGAACAGGGTATAGGGTTACAGCCTGTGTTGGATGGGGTCGCACTCCCCCTGAAGACGCAGGTTTGCAGTTTGGGTGTGATCCTGGACTCATCGCTGAGCCTGGAACCCCAGGTTTCGGCGGTGACCAGGGGAGCATTCGCACAGTTAAAACTTGTGCGCCAACTGCGCCCGTACCTTGGGAAGTCTGACTTGGCCACGGTAGTCCACGCTCTGGTTACATCCTGTTTAGACTACTGCAACGCTCTCTACGTGGGGTTGCCTTTGAAGATGGCTCGGAAGCTCCAACTATGCTTTTAATGGTTTTTAAATTGTGTATCGTTTGATTGACTTTTTACCCTTGCTGTAAACCGCGTTGAGTCGCCTGTCGGGCTGAGAAACTGCGGTATACAAGTAGAGTAAATAAATAAATAAATATCATGCATAATCTAGATAGCTTCTAGTTCCTCTCTTTGGCTCTCGAGGCTGATGCTTCCCATTGGACAAAGGAGAGGAGAAGGGAGACATGTCTTGTTTTAAGGAGACAAGACAACCCCAAGTGTATATGATAAATAACAATACATACATTATTAATGTAATAATATATCTATAATGTAATAAATATCATAATCTTTCATATTCAATATGATAGTATAATAATATATTATTAATATATAATGTATCATAATTATATAACCTGTTATATTCAATATATGATATATTAATACATAATATATAATTGTCATATTCAATATATGATATAATAATAATAATAATAATAATAATAATAATAATAATAATAATAGACAACAATAATAGACAATCCTAATACTTTTGCTGGACATCCTCAAGCTTCTCTCTGGAAACTCCTTATTTGGTCTAGAATTGTAGTAGCCTTCATTGCTGAAGCTGGACAGAAGGAAGAGGACAATAATTTTTTCTTCAAAGAGACGGGATCTCTGCCTTGTCTCTAGGTGACCCCAGAGGGCTAAGGGCAAGACAGTGGGTTGCTCTTGATCCCCAACAGGTTGGTGTAGTACTGCAATATGAATGTATTTTAGTAAACATTTACATTTTTTCACACACAAAAGAAGTAAAACAAAAGTTAGGTGTAAAAGGAAAGGATATATATATAGAGAGAGAGAGAGAGGAGAGGATGGGGATCATGGAGTTATTGTTAGTAATTTAAATCTTTACCAATATCTAATATGTCGTAGAGGAGGGGGGAAAGTTGAGGGGACTGGGAAATAGGCATTGTACAGAGTTGTAATTATGACATCTATTTTTCATTTCTATTACACTTACAAACATTAATTCATGTATTAAAAGTTCAATATGTCCCCTATAACAAAGAGCAGAGTGTTATTGTCAACTAATTTTTAACCTAATAGTCATGTCTTCTTTTATCCTCGTGTATTATTTCATGTTGTTTTTTCCTCTTCCAGCTTTTCATTTTTATGATTTCATTGATTTTTAAGTTTTTATCTAATTTTAATTATTACTCAGGAAATCTAAACATTTAATTTAATCTGTTTGTTTGTTAGTAAGTTAATATGTAGACAAAAATTACTATGTATTACTATCACTATGTACTTTCTCCTTTTTTATCACTACTCAAAGCTTATATACTTCTATGTAACATTTCTAGTCTGTTTATCCAAAGACTCTTAAATGTGGGATAGATAAGTAATACAAAAATTGTGCTTTTATATAAAACCTTCCAAATCTAAAGGATGCCAATACATCTATTGTCCAATGTTTCCTAAATATGAGATAGGTGGGTAATACAAAATGTATTTATGGGCAGTAGTCATATCTTTATGAATTTCATATAAGGTTCCCACTCTTGAAATTTTGTCAAGAACACTTATGATCTATCCAAAGTCTCAACATTACAGTTTTCTTTCCATCTATTTTTGCAGAATCTCCCTGTTGCCATCTAAAAATCAAACTTCTTAAGTTTATCTTGACATATGTGTTAACCACAGGTAGAGCTTCCCAAACAACTCTGGCTTCAAACTCTCCAATGATAGCTGTTTAATTTTCGCACTCCCATCTACTTTTCACACCAACCTATAGACGTGCAGATTGAAACCCAGATGGTTTCTGGCCAACCAGGGGATGGTGTGGAAACTTTGAATGACCGTAAAATAATAAAATATTTTGTACTGTACTGCATGCTATGTCTGATCTTTTTGAGCACAGACTCTATCAGACATCCTTTCAGACCTGAAAGCAATAAACCTCTGTTCCTTTTGTCTTCAAACCCGATCTGCATATTGATCTGGTCTTCAAGGTAGCAGAGCATGCAAGTAGGTAGCTGAAGTTTGGCTTACAAACTAGGTACCTCTTTTAGCATGTAGCTGAAGTTTGGCTTACAACATTCAGTCACTGGCTACCTATCCACAGATCTCTTAGTTTTAGGAAAAGAAATGTTAATAAGCCATATTAATGAGATTTTTTGCTTTGAGCATGAAGGCTTGAGACATAAACAAATAGGCTGCCTAATGTATGTGTATACATCCAGAATTAGAAGTGTAGAAGTGTAGAGAAACAAGGAGTTTCATTGCAAGATATATCTGTAGTATATTGTTACATCACTTTGATATCAGCATGCAAGCAGTCTTCAAGCTACAAACGTCCAATTTACACTTGACTCCTAGTTACAAACTGGAGTGAGACAACAGGAAGTGAGGGGAAATCTAATCCTAGGAAGGGAAATTTTCAATTTGCCATTTTAAACCAATTAACTTGTAAACTAACTCAAGGCAGATTAAGTTACAACATCGTTCTCATAATGGTTATGGGTTTGTGTTTTTTTATTAGGCTGTAAAATTTTCAAAAAGGAAAATTGACTGATATACCAGCAGGGGAAGTTATTTGAAGAACTTGGCAATTTCTCCCCGTAAAATGAACTGAGCTATGATGTTTATGTGGTTTTTTGAATGTAAACTTGAAGGCTTATTGCTGCTAAGCATTTCAGTGTCTAGCTGGAAAAATTTACCCCATCCATTGAGATCACAGGTTAATTGGGCACCAGCAAGTATTAGCACAGATGTTTATGGAAGAGCACATGTTCTGCTTTAATTTTAATTGTGTTTGGACATTGAATTATATGTTTCTCAGAGCACTAAAATCTCAAGCGTTGAAACCGCCAGCCTTTTATGATACTTTCCGAGATTCCTTCAGACTGAAAAAAAATGGTGATGTTTCCCCTCATTTTTCAGTAAGGGGGAGAAACAAGTTTTAAATAAACACAAGCAAACATATCCGTAACGTAATTTAAATCTGCATCTCAGAGGAAAGTTAATAAACGGAGATATGAATATCTGTTGTTTTCTGCATTGATAATGTGTTTCTGTTCCGACACCTTGACTCAAACGGTTTTGTGGTCGTTATTTCCCTCAATTATATATGGTCTGAAGGTGGCCGTTGCATGCTCACAGGATGTATGGCTCAGCCTGTCCAAATATATGCCTACTTTGGGTTTAGCCTTTTTAAATGAATGCTGTTATTCACCCCTGTCCTGAGCGAAGGGGTGAGGTTAGATGTGTGCTCCGGTTGTTAGAGACCTGGTGCAGTCCTTGGCGCCTTTGGGGTTTTACAGCCAAATGCCAGAAGGCGTGTGCCTTGCTGTGGTCAGGAGGATTGGCTTTCAAGGGCCAACGGTAGATTTTCAGAGGGAAGGGGGGCAAAAGACAAAATTGGAAGAGGGTGGAGCTGCTTTCTGGCAGGAGGGGGTCAGTCTGTCTGGGTCAATGAATGATACTGTGCAGAGTGTTTGCAGCTCTGTCCACATGTGTGTGTGTGTTTATAGATGCGTCTGAAAGGATTTGAGGGCTGACTGGACAACATTTTCATTTAGCCTCAGAAAGCTGGTTCTTGTTAAGTTTCGAGAGTTTGAACATTTCCAGAGGATATCTCACTTCTTGAAGGAGCAATGCCCCACAGCAAGGTCCTTCGTCTCATCCTGCTGACACTGGCTGGAGTCCTGGTACCTTTTGTGAAAACTGGTACGTTGGATTTCTTCTCCCTTGTCAATGTTTTAGCTAGACCACTTACCTTTTTTTACCTGCTTCTCTCTGTTTCTTCTCCACCCCCAGCACTTCTTTTCCCAGCAAAGAGGGGACTGCATGTTGATTGATAGATATCTCTTGAGGAAGTTCCTGAGAGAGGAATAGAAGTGAGAGACCTTTTGAGGACACTCTTGTCGCTTTCAGTGAGGAAAGTACAGAGCTTTATTTAGTGAGTTTGTGTTCATTTGGAAACCATGATACCTGGAAGATTCAAATCTTCAAAGAGGCTACCTGTTTGGAGGAAACTCCTTTAAATCAGAACTGTGTTTGACGTTATGCAACTCTCCAATTATGCAATTTGCCATTATCTGTAGAATTTAGTGTTATGAAATTATAGCTTTTTATGAGTTTTAGTGTGAAATGAGTACAAAAATAGACATGCAAGCAATCCATAGAGAAATCTCAGAAACCAAGCAGGACCTGCATAAGAGAATCAGTGGGCCAGTATCAGGCTTTCAGTGTCTTTTCTTGGTCTTTCTCCAATCTGTTGATTTATAGACTAAAACAAGGAGGCTAATGATAAAGAGCTTTAATTGCATAACATACATAGATGGCAGAACTTGATTTTTATTTGTGCTAAATGTAAAGTATTACATTGCAAATTCTGATTTTTTTTCCTTTCTAAAGCACAAAATATTTTGTTGACTGCCTTTAAGTCTGCTTCGAATGATGGCAGCTCTATGATTGAGACCTCCAAGTCATTCTGTCATCAATAGCTCTGCTCAGGTCTTGCAGATTCAGAGCTTTAGCTTCCTTGATTGAGTCTATCCACCTGCAATGGGGTTTCCCTTTTTTCCTACTGCCTTCTACCTCTCTGGGAATTATTTTATTTTCTATTGGGTCATGTCTTCTTATCATATGTCCAAAGTATTGTCATCTTGGCTTCTAGGGAGAGTTCAGGCTTCATTTGCTCTGGGCTTATCGGTTTTTACTGGCAGTCTATAGAACTCTTCTGCAGCACCACGTCTCAAATGAATGGATTTTCTTCCTATCAGGCTTCTTCACTGTCTAGATTCCACAACTATACATAGAAATTGAAAATACAATGCCATGGGTAATCCTAATGTTAGTATTCAGTTATGTACCTTTGCAATGCAAGATTTGTTCTTGTTCCTACATATCTGCCCTACCAAATCTTAGTTTTCTTCTGATTTCTTGGCTGCAGCCTGCATTCACTTAATGGCTGAGCCAAGGTATGGAACATCTATCCTCATAATCTATGCTCATGATTTTTTGCTTTGTTAATGTTTGACTATAAAACTGCTTTTGTACTTTTTTTCCTTGACTCACTTTAGTAGTCACTCCTAGTCTAGTAATTTCTACTAATATATTGGTATTTGCATATCTTAATTACTGATATTCTTTCCTTCCATTTATGCACACATATATATTGATATAAAGTTAACATATAAATCGAATCCAATTTTATACACTTTCTCTAAAGTGTACACATGACTAAACTATAAAAAGTGGATTTCAAAGTGTACACAATGACTAAACTATAAGAAGTGGCTAATCAATAAAAGCACACACTAATCAATAAAAGCACACTAACTAGAAGACTCTTTAGACAAGTCCATTTGCTCAGCTCTATTTGTAGAGAATTACAAGTAAAAGCAGAATTCGTTGCTGGGAAAATGGTTAAACAAACATGTGATTTTAAAGTGGGTATTTAAAAATAAACTATGAGTTCACCCCCAACTTTCTTTTAAACTTTTAGCTTGAATCCAGAGTATGTTAGTTGAATCTGGTTCCTAACATTTGGACCTAACTTCAACAGAGCCTGGATCCATCTCATTTAGTGATAATTCTAAAAATATCGATTTCACTCTTGCATTGAGCAAATTGTGTGTCAGTTAGAAAAACCTGTGGCTGTATGAGAAGAAATCTTTTATATGTCTATCCTCCTGTCTCTCACTTTCGGGAAAGAAATAACTTTTATAGTTGTTGTCATTGTTGTTATTATTTATTTATTTATATCCTGCTTTATCTCTCCAAGGAGGACTTGAAGTGGCTATGGCACCTAAAATATCTTTACTGGATTATATCAGTGATTGAAGATCGCTACTGAGCCACACCCTCTTTTCTTGTTGTTGTTCCTTTTTCTGTTTTAAGACAGGAATTTTGGGCAGAAGTTACTAATAATGTGGTTTGAAAGTTCTGTGACAGTTCTGTAGTGGAAACTATTTTCTTGCCATTATAAATATATATGGGAACAGAATATTGGGGATTTAGTGCTATGTTGAGCAATTATTGCTATATCCACCCTATCCCTTGTACATTAGGATTCAAAGCGCTAGTGATATTAAGCTGCTCAAACCATGTTTTGAAAACATTTGTTTCAATAGACAGTCCAGAACATTGCATCTGTAGTTTCTGACTATTTCGCTGATAAACAACATAATGGTGATGAGCTCCATTTTTTCATTAACTTATTAAGAAGGACTCAGCAACTGCTTAGAAAACGTTTTCATCTTTAAGAAGGAGCTTTACAGGTGAAAGAACCAAAAAACAGTGGGTCCTGCTGTATAAAATGTGTGTACACACACACACGCAAAGGAAAGGAATATTTTAACAATAAGAGTATACTGTACGGTTGTAAAACAAAATATCGAGATAATTTCAAAAATGCGACATAATTGAATGCAAATTGACAAATGCATATAATCAAAATATACGAGATTAGAAAACCATGTTAAACTAAAATTTCAAAAGCTTTGGAAAACAAGAACACTTTTAATTGAGATTTAGAAATAATGAGGGACGAAGCAGTCCATAAATATGCAAAGAGACAATGCCACGCGTATGGAGGAGTGAGTAAAAAAAGAACAAAACTGAATCAAGGAAGAGATTATGTGCTGTCCTATGTTAATTGCATTGATTTTCTGTATTTGAAGTTGTCAAGAAGTTGAATTCGTATCACTTGATACAATACTGTCCTCATATTTGAACAGGGTATGTTCATGGGCTTTCCATGGATATGCAAAACTCCATTGCAATGAAGGACTCCCAACCCAAAAATACAATTGAGACACACTAGAATCCCTAGAAATTACCCAGAAAAGCCATATTTGCCAGAAATGGAGGAATGTAACTGCAAGTACCAGTCCCATGGATATGGGGGTAATATTTTATTAGCAAATTGAAATTTTCATTACAGGAACAATAGCAAGGAGTCAACAGTAATGGTACAATTGTCTTTGAAACTAGAATTCACAAATGCTATTTTGTTATCAAGTAAATTTATCTTTTTTAAAGCCTTGTATTCAGCATCATGACTCTCCAAAGAGATGAGTTAACTTCTCCTTATGACAGCCATCTCTGCATGGTATATACCAGTGGTTTCCAACCTTTTTTGACCAGGGACCATTCTCCACCATTAGTACCAAAAGGGTTATGAATCAGTTTTTTATCAACTTTAGATTCGGTTTGGGGAGCTGATTCAGAAAATTGCATTGGATAGACCACATCAGCTCTAGTTTCTGATACAGAACACATGCCATGGTCAGCAACCGGGAAGGAGTGGCAGGCGGTACAAAAGAAGCAGAAATTAAATAAATAAATAAAGAGGAAGGAGGCTCACGGACCATATTTTTGTCCTTACAGCCCACTGGTGGTCCATGCCCCACAGGTTAAGAACCACTAGTATACCCTCTCTTTCTCACACGTGCACCCTGCAAAATCTGTGTGTGGTAAATTGCAATAGATTAGTTCACACACACACATGCTAATTGTATCATTCACTACTTTACTTACCAAAAATTTGTGAACCGACTCAGGTGGCAAATTCTGTTTGAGAGGATATTAAATTGTTAATATTGATTGTGCTATGCCTCGTTCCTCTTTTGTTTAAATATTACATTTGTAGTGAGATCGACATTCATTTACAAACTGGCCCCTGTGTTCTTGAGCAAGTGATAACCTGCCTTGAGAATGTGTTACAAGACTAGGATTCAAATCTTCGTCCAGCACTCAACACATTATACTTTAGATTTCCTTGCTGGCTTTGCTTTAATGACACAAATAGAATATAAACAGGTGACAAGGAAATCCAACGAAACCCAAATGTATGTTTGCTTTATTACTAGGCAGTGTGCTATAGACCAAAATCCTAAATAGATACTAAAACCAGTGGTTGTGTCCTCATGTCAAACCCGCAAATGAAAAGAACAAAACCAAAAATGATGAAAAAATGGTTGTTTTTATTTTATTTGCTATTCTTGACCTACCTGGCAGAAAGGAATCGCTTGCCAAGCGAGGAAAGGGGGCACAGCCCATCTCCAGGTATGCCTAGATACATACAGCTTCCTGGCCTTTTTGTAAACAAGTTTATTTAACATTCAGTACGACTGTGGTGCTCTGTACAGGCCCATGCTTGAGCCCGCACCACCACAGACTTCCCTTTGTGCCCCGGAAGAATGGTTTCTTTCATCCACAGACTGGCCACATGCCCATTGTGGCTACCTGAGTCCGGACAGCCCACTCTTGGTCTCCAAATACATTTTGGGTCCCTGGTTTTCTATGTCAGCGCCTCTGGCTGTCCACAGTTGAGCCCTCCAAAGTGAGCACAGAGAGACTGATCTCAGCCCAAAAACATTAACAATGTTTTACATCTTCAGTAGCTGAGAATCAGCCAAAGGCTTGGCCTTGATCCCCTTTGCCTTACGAAATACATACACAGAGCAGTTGGATACCCAAAACCTCAATCTTTCTGCAAACAGAAATGAAAGCAACTGAATCAACTGTCTGTGCAGATGTTTCTTCAGCACACACAAGCTTCGAACATAGAATGAACCAGTGTTAGATTAACATTCGGCCACAGAGGAAAAGAGATGACCAGATCTTAATCTGGAACATGTGACTCAAGGCTAAAATTTTAATATTGCAGTCAGCATGAAAGATTGAAGGCTCCATTCCACATGAATATGGGCAGAGTA